CCCAACCCTAATCCTACCCATCTCCACCCCTTGGATCTTGATCCGACTCCTCCCCGTGGATCTCATGTACTGCATTGAGGTGCTACTGAGACTCACCAGACCAATGTTCAGTCTTAAAAGATTGAGCTTGGACTGGTGATAGCCAGGCTAATATACAACAGTTCTGGTCTCTTGACTCTGATTTGTCTGTGGTGTTCCATGAATTCATTCTGATTGTCCGCTTGCGTGTTCCAGATTATCTAGTTTTTTTTTTTTTTTAAGAATTCAAAAACATTTTTGCAAAGAAACATTAACTATTGGCCCACTGTATATCCAGTGATAATATCAGTGGATTTTTTCCCCACTAGTTTCTCTGTTTGATTGGTCAGATAAAACTCGTTGTTTACACTGTAAATCTTATTGTACATTTAGTGAAAAAAGTGCAATTATTTCCTCAGTGTCTGTTCTTTACGCATTAAGTAAGGTAAAATTAAAAATAAACCCCAAAAAGAGCAGCTCGTGTTCAGTGAGCGCGTTTGTCGATAGCTAAAACTGTCAAAACACCACAAAAAAATAGTCCTACAGATTCTTCTAGTGGGGATCAGAGCAAAAATGTAAGTCTTTATTCACTGATAATCGTTTTGTATATTCTGAAGCAAAAGAAAGATGAATGAAGTCTCAGTATCATATACTCTATTATTTTTCAAGAAAAAAGATAGTCATTCATATTGTTAAAAATATTAGATTTGTTCTATTTATTGTGTTTCATTTTTAGTTTTCAGGGTAACTCGAGATTAGATGCAACTTCATCCATATGTGAATGTAGGCTATATGCAACAAAATGGATGCTTTCTCTTTTTTAAAATATCTGTGATGTGTATTATCTTTCATAGAAAACCTGGTGAATGAATCAGAGACTCATCCCCTGATAGAGGTCGTGCAGGAGGCCACGAGTTCAGTTTGATGAGAAAAGACCTGTCACCAGTGTCAATCACTCTGACGGCATCAACAATCGAGCTCAGCAACAGATTTCTGCTTTTATGAAAGTGAGACATGAACATGTGTGCTGGAAGACAGAATGATTACTCCTGTGATGAGCACATGACTAACAGTAGATACTAAGATACTCCCACAGACACTAATCTCACTGCTGAAGAACTTCTGAAAGTAGAGAGAGACAATCCTCAAAGTTAACCATTCACTATCTACACTCAGGACGCATGACACTTTCAAATGATCCATGGTGCTACAATTACCAAAGATCAGAACTGGAATAGCTGTATCTTTATTGTTACGGGGGGTTGATAGGGTCAGAAGAGATAAGCGGCTTAGCCCCTGTGAATAAGTACCCCGCCGCATTACTTCTATTAATATTCTTTATGGTTTCTTTTTTCTCACTTTTGTCTGTCACTTTTGTATATGCAGCTTTATATGTTCTTTTTTGTTCTTGTCTGGCATTTCAATTTCAGTTCTCATTGTCTATGTTTTATTTGTCTATCATTTTCTTGCTTGTCTTTTTAAAGTCCTGTAATCTCGGTCTCGTCTTTTTATTTAATTTTGTTTGTATGTCTATCTCTCGCCATCTCTTTGTCGTCTTTCCTCAATTCTTGTTTGTGTGTCTTGTAGGAATTAAGGGCCAACCAGACACAAATGAATCTTCCAGATGATTCAATTCACCTTTATTTATATAGCACTTTTAACAATAGTTTCAAAGCAGCTTTACAGTGATAATAGGAAATTAAAGTAACAGAGATTGTTTTGGCTTTACAGCCTATTTTGTCCAGCTAAAGTTATAGTTTTGATTGATTCACATCCATTGCAAAAATCATTAGTTAATAACCTATTAGCTTACACAATATAATTTTATTGAAAACAGAAAACTTATGTTTTCTGACTGTTCATTTCCATGACAACATTTTTGTGGCTTGAGAACGCTAACTGTGAAATAGGTTCTGAGATGCATTTTTTTTTTTTACATTATCATCTCCATGTAAACTTTCAAAATGTGAATCTGTGAAAATACTGATGGCGTCCACATGCACATTACATGTTTAGTCTATTGGGTTGCACATTTGAATATATACTTATGTGAGCAGGCGTGTATTGTTTCTTTACAAGTTGACCTGACAAAATGACTTGTCTGGCCTTAAAAATTCATAATACAGAATATTTGGCGCTACTGCGTATCAATGCGAACTGGAATCATTTTACAACGTTTTATCGGAGCAGAAGTAAAGGGAAGGGAAGGAGGCCTTCACAGGGGAGACACTAGTTGACACTTCAATAGACGTGAAGAGCTCTCTCAATACTGAGAAGCTAAACCATTTAGTGCTTTGTAAGTAATCAGCAGTATTTAAAAATGTATACAATGTTTACTAGGCAGCCAAAGCAGTGTTGACAGAATCGGGCTTACTTACTTCCTGGTTCTGGTAAGAACTCAAGCCGCTGCATTTTGGACGAGCTGTAGTTTGTTTATTAAGAGTGCAGGGCAACCACCCAGTAGAGCATTAGAATAATCTAGCCTTGAGGTCATGAACGCATTAAAGGAGTAGTTCACTTTAAAAAAAAAAACTTTTGCTAATAATTTACTCACCACCATGCCATCCAAGATATCCATGTCTTTCTTTCTTCAGTCGAAAAGAAATTAAGGTTTTTGATGAAAACATTCCATCATTTTTCTCCATATAATGCACTTTGCTGGGAACCAAACGGTTCACGGTCCAAAAGACAGTTTCAGTGCAAACTGCAAACTGTTCAAAGGGCTTTAAACGATTCCAGACGATGAATAAGGGTCTTATCAAGCGAAACGATCGCTCATTTAATAAATAAATAACAAAGTTTAAGTTTTATAAGCTCAAATGCTCACCTTGCTCTGTACTGTGATGCACGTTCGTGACTCTCCTGTTCGAACTCGTTCATCAAAATGAACAAATCTTTTTCCGAGTCAATTTGTTTGTTTCGTTCGTTGAATTAACCAAACGACTCGGAAAAAGATTTGTTCATTTTGATGAACGAATTCATCAAACTGAACAGTCTTCCTAATTTTGTCAGGTCAAACCACTGAAGTCTGAAGAAAACATGAGAGACGCCTGGCTGACACCAACATAGAGGGAATTACAAAAGTCCAATCGAGAGGAGATGAAAACATGTACAACTCTTTCAAAGTCTTTAAATGACAAAAAAGGTTTCACTTTAGATGAGGCTTAAATGATTTAAAAAAATGGCTTTAACCACAGAATTTCTGTTTTTCAGGCTCTACTTTCAATTGCAAGCTATGGGCCCATTCGAGTTCACGCACCCAACGCATGTCCTCCGCGCTGGAGAAATTAGCTTTTGACTGAAGGAGCTGGGGAAATAGTTCCTCCTCCCAACAACGAGTCAGGCTTCTAGACACTACTTCCTCGTGCCCAAAAAGGATTGTGACCTCAGGGGCCTGTACCATAACGGTAGTTGAACAAACTCAGGGTTGCAGGATTAGTTTCGAGTTGACAAAAACAAAACAATCCAACCAGGCTTTGTTGCTACCATGATGCTGATTACCAACTTTCTCTGTCAACTCAGGCTTTGATCCAGGGTTTAGAAGAGACATCAGCAGCGAACACCCAATCACATGTTGAGAGAGTGAAACTCATTCAAAACTCATTGAAATTAATTTCTCGCGAGAGAAGCAGTGCAATTCACTTATTAAAAGTATTAAAATATTAAGAATTAAAATATTAAGAATTAAAACACATTTACACAGCAAGAAGAAAATAGCTGTCTATGAAAGAGGACAACTAAAAGAAAAAGTCTCGCAACTGTATATCAGTGCAAGAAAAAGTTGTGAAGCTAGTTTATACAGTTGATAAAGGTATAGAGAATTGAACATTTAAGCTCAGGTATAGTCATTTTATAGCTTATTCTTTTGATTCTAAAGCATAATTATATTACCTTTATAGGATATTTTTATTCATTTAAAGGCCATGTCCACACTAATACGTTTTCGTTTGAAAACGTATATTTTTCTCTCCGGTTTGGCCTTCCGTCCACACTGAGACGGCGTTTTAAGTCAATGAAACGTAGCTTTTGGAAAACGCAAATTATTTATTATTTATTTTTCCATCTGTATCATCTTGGTGAGCTTTTGTGAGGTTAAAGGTGAATTTAGAAGTTTCTCATCCACACTGAAACGTCGGAAAACGCCTGAAAACTCTAGTGTGGACGGGGAGCGTTTTTAAACGAAAACACCGTTTTCAAATGTATCCAGATTAATGTGGACATAGCCAAAATCTGTGTAATCATTGAACTAAAATTGTACATGTGTGATTAAGGGTACAATTACATAAATATCTAAATTATACAAAATTATTATTCTAAATAATCATTATTCTAATTATGATTATGCTTCAGGCTATAATGCAAATCGATTTTTTTAATTTGCAGATTGATTGCAGCTTGATATTATAATATTGACGATATGGCTATTATCTACCACACACAAAAAAATGAATAGTATATTCATTATGTAAAACAGTAGCCACTAGGTTAACGTTACTATAAAGACGCTGGCTTGTAAACGTGAGCTACGCGATCTTTTGACGTTTGAAAAAAATAAAGCCCATGAAACTAGATTCATATGACATGCTGAAATATATGCCAATGTATCTGGGATGAAGACATTTCACACGCAACGCTGGAGTCTGCCCAAGATGTGAGAACTCCTTCCTTCTGCAGAGCTCGGGGTATCGCTTGTCAACAAATGCACGCGTGTATTCCCTAGCGTAACCATGACAGATTTTATACAATTTTATACAATACTGTTTCCCAACTGTAGGGAGACCCCGAGAGCAAAAAAAAAAAAAAAAAAAAAAAAAAAAAAAAAAAAAAAAACAGAATGTTGCTTTAAATAGATTTTTAAAACGAGAAACACTGAAAGTCTTTCAAAACGGTTCAACTCATACAAGTAATTGGAAAACCATTAAGTACACTTTTGCTCCCAAGCTCATGTAGAATTTTTTTTTTTAACAAAAAACACTAAACATGTTTTTTTACTAAACATTTTTATTTGCTGAAAAGTCCTCAAGTATGGTATGCAAAAATCAATCTCAGAGGACTCTTTCCGATGGCTAAATCATCAGCACTGGTAACTGCAAGCATGGCCACAGGTGGTTGGGCAACACTTCTGTCTGGCAGGACATTGGCCATCATGGATCTATTTCTCGGCAAAAAGGCGAATACGGTCCAAAACATTTACCAGGCGTCACTGTATAGGATACAAATATTCAGCTTTAGTCTGTGCATTTAGCTTAATTCAACTTAAGAAACAGCACAAAATAGGAACAAGTTTTACTTGAGCAAGTTGTATTTCAAGTATTATGAATCTTTATTTCGTAAAGCACAATCTTGAATTTTTGCTATGGGCTAAATTCAGGTACTTCGATAAATGTTTGTCTGTCTTCCATTTTATCACTCAATGCAAATCTAAAGTAGAAACAAGTGCACAAATTAAACATTAGAATGCTGCATATCAGATCGTATGAATGATCATACGTTGATAAAAGTGGTGGCTGAAAACAATCGCCACTTGAATATCCCGGCCCTAAACATTCATGGTTTTGAAGCCTCATCTCGAGTTTACGCCACGGAGAAAATGTAACCTGGCCAAAGAAGTGAGCGATCTTGAGAGAAATTGATCTTAGTCAAATCTGTTAACCTCATACTTGGAAACATTTAACTTATTAAATGCATTTAATTTATATTTATATTCAATACCGGTGTGTAAAACTAAACGTTTACAAACAATAGCCTAGGTCATTTACCCCTCACTCAACAAATCCTTTAAAGTTAACGGTATTCAAAACAGGAAAATAAGTAGCTATGAATTATATATTAAACTAGGCTATAAAATAAAACACAAATTAGGCTATGGTGGCTTATATAAAAAAAATAAAAGTACCACATTGTCGTCCACATCTAGTGCTGCAGCATTTGTCATCGTCCGGACAGTCACTGTCATAGGAACATGGCTTATTACACACTCCAAGTCCAATGAGTTTGCTTGGACACACTCCTGGCTTTGGTTTATCTGTGTTTGCATAACATTATATCAATGAATGCCTTGATGCATTCAAAAGAAAAGCTGACCCACACACACACTAACATAAATACCTATGGATGGAGCCCGACACTGACGTCCACATGCATTGCTGCAGCATTTCTCAGTATTCGGACATTCACTGTCATCGACACATGAATCCTTACACACTCCTCCAATGGGTTTGACTAGACACACCCCTGGCTTCGCTATTTGAAAAACAAACAGGGAAACCAGATCACTGAATGCTGAACGTCTCATTCAATGCATGGGTCAGTTTTTACACAATTACCTGTATATGGAGCTGTACACTGATGTCCACATCCAGTGCTGCAGCATTTCTCATCTTTCGGACAATCGCTGTCTTGGGAACATGACTCGGAACATTTTCTTTCTACTGCAGGGATTTTGTTTGGACACACTCCGGGCTTTGGTTTCGCTGTCATAGTGAAAGCTGAATTACACACACTGCACATGAAAACACCTTTTGCATTCTCACAATTTGTTGCGAGTTTGGACAAACAAGGTTTCAGACAGATCCAAACGTTAACAGAAGGGTTCCATTGAACTACAACTAAATTCCTCAAAATGAGCTCTCGACTGAGACTTTCTTGGTTTTTCACTTTGTAGACGGCCCCTTCGAGCTCGTCTCTCAGCTGCCTGCTCAGACATCAATTAATAAAGCTTGTATTAAAACTAACAGGTCTTGTGAGTGAGTTTTTAGAAAGTATTTTTTAATTTTACACCACCATGTCCCTTTAGGGGCTCTGTATAAAGCTGACCCACACACTAATATAATAAAATATAAATACCTATAAATGGAGCCATACACTGATGTCCACATCGATTGCTGCAGCATTTCTCATCATTCGGACAGTCACTGTCATGGGAGCATGGCGCCTTACACACTCTTCCTCCAAGGGTTTTATTTGGACACACTCCTGGCTTTGGTTTATCTGTCAAGTGTTTGTATAACATGTCAGTGAATGTTAAATGACTACCTGTATTAAAATAAAAACCTGATCCACACACTAATAAAAAAAAAACCTTTAAATGGAGCTGAACACTGATGTCCACATCCATTGCTGCAGCATTTCTCATCTTTTGGACAGTCACTGTCATAGGAACACGACTCGAAACACAGTCCTACCACTCCTCCAGGGAGTTTCGGACACACTCCTGGCTTTGGTTCATCTATCAAGTGTTTGTATAACAGCATCAGTAAATGTTAAATGACCAACTGTATTACAAAATAAAAACCTGATCCACACAGTAATAAAATAAAAATACCTTTAAATGGAGCTGAACACTGATGTCCACATCCATTGCTGCAGCATTTCTCATCTTTTGGACAATCACTGTCATGGGAACACGACTCAACACACACTCCCATCACTCCTCTAGAGGGTTTAGGACACACTCCTGGCTTTGGTGTACCTGTCAAGTATTTGTGTAAAAGTATATCAGTGAATGTTAAAGGGGTGATGAACTGAGCAATCAAATTTTCCTTGAGCTTTTTACATCTAAGAGGTCATCGTATTATAAGAATATCCTGTAAGTTTCAGAACTGAAAACGTCCTTGTTAGTCCAATAAAAGCTATTGACACCAGCCTCAGCAAACGACTCGTTTTTCAAAGTGGGGAACTATGACGACAAAGAGGATAAAACACCACCCCCGCAGAAGATCAACGCCTACATCAACACGGCCGGTTTAGCCCCGCCCACCGATTCGCTCATTACACGCATAGCTAAATAACATAGGCCTACCTCGTGATGACAAACCGGATCGAGATACCGAGCAATACAAAATATTGTGGAGTGCCTGGTTGTGGAAGACAGTCGCTGCATAAGCTTCCTCTGGATTAGGAATGCATGGTTAAACTTTATTTTTAATGACGTTCCAGCTGATGAGGGTAAAACATTGTCCGTCTGTTCGCTTCATTTCACGGAGGATTGTTTTTTAAACAAGACTGGATTTGCAGACCGATTAAGATTAAAGAACGGTGCTGTGCCCGTGTGCCGTCTATATTGGATCTGACAGGAATGGTGCAACACACGGACTCTGGGTCGAACATGTACGGGCGAATCATTCTGGTTGCCATTTTACAACACTGGACGTTTTCAAAACAATTTCCCCCCCGTGCACCGACGAGTGAGTTGAAACTCATAATATGCAAAACTTATCCACTCACAGCAGTGGGCGTTTACTTCCAAGTCTTCAATGCGAGACGCCCATCAAAAACAAGCGTTTTTCAGCTAGGCTCAAAATTAGGGTAGAAAATAGCCTATTACTTATTAATTTTGATGTTTTTGATTGCAAAAACCAAGCGAGCGTCATAAGTTGACCTCGGACAACAATATAAGAAAATTTAAAAAGCCAGTTCATGACCCCTTTAAATGACTTCCTGTATTAAATGAAAACCTGATCCACACACTTATACACAATAATAAAAATACCTCTATATGGAGCTGAACACTGATGTCCACATCCATTGCTGCAGCATTTCTCATCTTTTGGACAGTCACGGTCATAGGAACACGACTCGACACACAGTCCTACCACTCCTCCTGGGAGTTTCGGACACACTCCTGGCTTTGGTTTATCTGTCAAGTGTTTGTATAACAGCATCAGTGAATGTTAAATGACTAACTGGCGAATTTAGGAGCAACTCCTATAAATAATGGGCGTGTCACTCCTAACTTTAGGACTCCTAATTTTTTTCACTAAGAGTAATTCACAAAGCATTTTAGCCCTAAAAGTAGCACCTAAGTCTGGGACAGCTTAAAAGTCGAGAGGACTCCTAACTCACTAAGACCTATTCACAAAGGATCGTAGCGCATACCACCGCCTCTCGCAGTCGTCCGGGGTCCGCGACACAAGCGGGAATGCTGCATTCTGCAAACAAATCCTCTCCCATTCTCACGCTTAGTTTTGCTTGATATCCCAGTGCCGAATTTCACTTTTATTATGTTTTTTTTTTTTTTTTTTTAGCACTAACTCGGCCAGCAGCAGTAACTGATCCTGCGTCCAGTTGGGCTTTCTTTTACGTTTTGGGGACTTCAAAATCCACTGTCATTCAACTATTACATTACATCAATAATAATAATAATAATAATAATACATTACAACATTTCCTTTCTTTAAGTAGTCTATTTAGGCTAATAGGATGTCAATTAACCAAGCAAGTGTTAATGCAAGTGTTGTTTTTCATTTTTAGGCAAGTGGAGGTTTTCATTAGGGTATTAGGCTACCTTGATTTAATTTATTTTAATTCACGAATTTTCTCTCTCTCTGCCTTTTTAGAATTACACTTCACTGGGGCATGCACAAACATGTCATTATATATGCATTTCGATGACATTACTATTATTATTTTGTGTAGGACACAGACATATTTAGATGTCGTAATTCCATGATTTGTTGCTTCTGTGTTATGATCCGCATGATGGCCCTGTCATCTAACAACCAATCACCGTGATCATTGCGAGGAAGCTCGTGCCTGAGAAGTGACGTCATCCATAGCAACGAAGACTCACTCTTAGTTTAGGAGTTGTCATTTTTCCTTACTAAGAGTAGGTCTGAAAGGCGTTGTGAATAACTTTTAAGAGAAAACTCCTAGCTAAAATATTTGAGTGCGATTTAGGAGTACTCCTAGTGGTAAGATACAATTCTTTGTGAATACAGCCCCTGATCCACACAGTAATAAAATAAAAATACCTTTAAATGGACCTGAACACTGATGTCCACATCCATTGCTGCAGCATTTCTCATCATTCGGACAGTCACGGTCATGGGAACACGACTCGACACACAGTCCTACCACTCCTCCAGGGAGTTTCGGACACACTCCTGGCTTTGGTTCATCTGCCAAGTGTTTGTATAACAGCAGCATATCACTTAAGGAGGGACTTGCCAATAAAATGTATTAATTTATAATAAAATGCATTAAAAAAAAAAAAAAGAAGCTGACCCACCACACAAAAATATAATAAAAATAGCACTGTCAAATACATTTTCCCTTTGAAAATGCAATTAACCAAAGCTTTTTTTTTTTTTTTTTAATAGCCTAGCTGGTGTTTGACATCACAGACAACCTTGTAACCAATTAGGTTCAAGTGCTGGTGGGCTTTAACATAATTAACACCAAACTATCAGGGGATCTCGATAAGCCATTTATCCAGGTATTATGAAAATCGGGTATATTTAGCTATACAGCCGGTGTGTGATGTATATTGATGAATTAGAAGGCTTTCTCCACTGACATAAGTTGTTCAGGCGAATACCTGTATATGGAGCTGTACACTGATGTCCACATCCATTGCTGCAGCATTTCTCATCTTTTGGACAATCACTGTCATGGGAACATAACTCGACACACACTGCTGCCACTCCTACTGAAAGGACTTCACTTGGACACACTCCAGGCTTTGGTTCCCCTGTGTTTGAATAAACAGCATATCAGTGAGTGGTGAATGACTCCCTGTATTTTGGATGTTTTTTTATTTTTATATCTGATCCACACACTAATATAATAAACCAAATACCTCTATATGGAGCTGTACACTGCCGTCCACATCCATTTCTGCAGCATTTCTCATCCCCCGGACAGTCATCGTCACGGAAACACATTTCAGCACACGCTCCATCTCCGTGTGTGATTGGACACACTCCTGGCTTTGCTGTTAGTCAAACACATGACAGAAACCATAATCACTGAACGCTGAATGTCTCCATTTAAAAATATATATATATTATATTATATATCAGGGATTGTGGGGTATGTCCCTTCACAAAACGAGTTAGCTCACCCCTCGGTCCCATTTCGCCTACGTTAGCTAGAGCTTCCCAAGTTTAGTCGAGCTTCACTTTTTTTTTTTTTTTAGAAGGATATTATTTCACACAGTTCACATCCAAAAAAAGTCAGCACTTGAAGCTACTCACCAGTCCAGAAGAAACCTCAGCGTCCGATTGAAAATGTTTCAGTTCTTTAAGTTCTCTTTCAAAAGCCTTCCAGATAATAACTACATTTGTGTCTTTGAATAAACACAATGGTATTCCCTCGCTCTAAACCTCCTCGGGATTGACTCAGGCATATTCAATTTCTCTTGCTCATTGATATAACAAGGTTTTGCAATGCGAATCAATCTGAAGTATAACTCCACAATTATCTGTATCAAGTCAAAGTAGTTTAGAAATCCCTAAATTGTTACAAAGTGCCATTACAACACAGAACCTACTAGTGCATTGTAATGCAATAAAACATGGATGGCAGTTCATATTTAGTTTATGGTCAATGTGATGGCATAATTATGTTGGACTGAGTTATATTAAGCATTTTAATACACACACACACACAAAAACACATTTGTAGCAAAACAGACAGAACCCATTAAACTCAAGCAATCAGACTTTAACAAAAGTGGCTTTAGACTTAATGAACTTTAGTTAATATCAAAAATCCATTCATTCATTTCAGAGCCAATTTTGGACAAAAGTAGGCTACATTTGAAGGAGTAATGAAAAAAAACAACAACTGTTATTTACTTGAATATGGCAGTCAGTCACATTTAAGGAAAATGGAATAAGCAATTTATGTGCAGCTCAGTCCAAAAATCATGAGGCAATCAAAACTGAACAAAATTTGAACGACTAGCGAAAATTCTGAATACTGTACCATTCAAAATGGACAATACAGTAATGGGCTGAGTCTAAATTTAAGATGTTGAATGTAAGAAGCATGATGAATTAAATTACAATTGGTCAAAATACTATTCATTATCACTACAAGTGGCAAATATCATAATTTTTTTTTATATGTTCCATTTATAGGGCTGCCATAGACTCCCATTAGTAAGGAATAATAAAGAAAAACGTAAACTAGCCTACCATGTAGGCTACAATAGAGGCAAGTAGACAATGAACACATCTGGTAACAACTTACAACTGAGCACATATCTGGTAGGCCTACTCATAATTATCCTTCATAACTGTGTTTTCCATGTGCAATGGAAAAACAGCATTAAATAAGACTTAAACGTTCTATTTAGAACTACAACATACAAAATGTAACTTTCACTGGACGTCTGTTGCCTATACTGTAGGCATACTTATGTTATATAAATGTAGCGCCCCCTACCCTTGACCATTAATAGGGCGGAGCACCCAGGTTCTGAAAATGTCTCTCGACTTTATACTAATGTCCCTCCTATTACCCTAGTTGACTACTGTACTCAGATTAAATATATTTATATTCTTTTAGTAATATGCTTATATTTAATGGCAATTAACCCAACAGAGAAAACCCTAAATCAACACAAAAGGTAAGTTTATAGAAGTTAACAATAGGATTTATTAAACAGAAAGGGAAAAATGAGCAAATAAATGACTAGTGAATTAATAAACCCTGGATTGACTTATCAAAAGACAGAAATGTATATCACTTTTGATAAATACCTCTCAAAATACCTGTTGAGTACCTCAAAGTCTCAGTAAATATATCTCTAATGTAAATGAAATGAATTTCACCCTAAAATATATTCAATTACCCATGGAAATAACAGCAGATACAGATAAATGTGATGGGGGAAAATCAGTATCTCATAGTACACTTGGTTCGTATCAAAAAACCACAAACAAAAGTATAAAACACAAAAAATAACAGAACAACAGTAAATTTACAAGCGTGGGCCCACACACACACACACACACACACACACCAGTCAAAACAACCCTGCTGAAAAAAACAATAGAAACCATTACAGAATTCCTAATGGTTTCCACTACAAAACCATTACAAACCACCAGCCGTTAACCATTAAAACCATTACCAAGTGGAGTCCATTACGTAGTGTGTTTTGGGCCATATTCCATTAGGATTTATTGGTTTTAAGGGTTTCCATTACAAATTTGTATTGGGTCTGTATTTTAATGGTTTCCATTACAGTTTTGTATTGGTTCTGATGGTTTCATTACAAATTTGTATTGGTCTTGAATTGCACATGTTTAATGGTTTCCATTACAGTTTTGTATTGGTTCTGATGGTTTCAATACAAATTTATATTGGTCTTGATTTGCACATATTTAATGGTTTCCATTACAGTTTTGTATTGGTTAAGATTTGTAGGTTTAATGCTTTTAGCTGTTAATAATTAGGACATTAATTATAGATTTTAATAAATTAATTTGAATTATAACTACTATTAAACACAATTGATATAAACTTCACACCAACTTTTCAATAGCTTACAGCTCAGGTTTTGTTTTGCAAAGAATGAAGAATTTGCACCTGAAATAAAAATGATAGTATTAAGACCTGCTTTTTTACTCAACCCAGCTGGAAATAAACATCTGACACAAAACATTAATATTACATTATTTTATTAATTATTTGATTCAGTTATTCTTTTACATTGTGTGGCTTCACTTGGGCTGACTGATTAGACCTGCAAAAAGAAGGAGAATTCATTAGGACAATGTACCTCTTAAACCACATTACCAGTACATAAGATTATCCATACATTATATATTTAAATATATTCATGTTTGGGCATACTTTGATACCCATTTTTCTGTGGGTATCATGACTCCATGTCCTAGATCCAAAAAAAAAAAAAAAAAAAACAAAAAAACATTAATATGTAGAATAAGACATTGGTGTAAAATTGGCCTTCTGAGGGTAATCCGTGCGGTTTTGTCGTAAAAATATACATATTTAAAACTTTATAAATGGAAATATCTGACTTCCGGCAACGATCGACGCGCATTCACGGGTGAAGGAAGTCGGCGTACGAGGTAGGACGTCGCATAGGAACCGTCGTGACCTAGAAAGAACGCGCCTGCGCAGCCAGAGTGCAGAGCAAAACAAAACTACACTCAGGATTTCCGTGAAGAGTTCCATCATCCGTGAACGCGCGTCGATCGTTGCCGGAAGTCAGATATTTTCATTAATAAAGTTTTAAATATGTATATTTTTACGACAAAACCGCACGGATTACCCTCAGAAGGCCTTCGTTTATCCCCCTGGAGCCGGATGGATTACTTTTGTGAAGGATGTATGCACATTTTGGGACTTGAAGGAGGTGGACCCCATTGCTTCACATTATATCCACTGAAGGGTCTAAGACATTTTCTAAAATAACTGAAAATGTGTTCGTCTGAAACAAGATTGACATATGCATCTCGAACGGCTTGAGGGTGAGTAATGCATGTGTTAAATATCATTTTTGGCCGAACTATCCCTTTAACTAAACAAAGTTGGTTTAAGGGTTACTCTTTAAAGCTGCAGCCTGCAGTTTTTCCTATTTGTCGCCATCTCTGTTCGAAATCTGCAATAGCAGTTATTCACGGAATTATCAACTGTTTTATCAGTGTGTTGTGTTAGTTTGACAGAATCCTGGTCTATGAGGACACTGTTTTACTGGGACACTGGTAACTAGATACATTTGGACGGCACTCTGAGTTCAAGTGTGTATGTATTAGAGTGATACGAGACATTGCGCCTGTGCTAGATGTACAGTAAGTGATTGTGACTCACTGACTTACACACACAATCCTAATTCATAATTCAGTGACTGATAACTGTGGCAAATAATCTGTTTCTGAGGAACACTGAAATCTGCTATTCTTTAAGGAATAACTCAATTATTACATTAACTTCTTAGATACCTTTAGAGTTGCTGTATCTTGTTCAGGTTTCATCTGATTATTCTCAGTTATCATCTGAAAAAAAAAAGAGCAGCAAATAAAAATATATATAAAAAAGACAAATAAATACTAATTTTAGTCAAATTGAAAGCCAATTTCAACAGAGGTTACTATTTTTTACCAACTTCAATGATTATATTGAATCTAACAAGCAAAAATAGTTTTCGATATTGGTATTAGCCACAATGAGCTGTAAATTATGGGTTATCAGTATCGATCCTCCTAATATTCCATATGTGTGTCCCCGTAAAACGGTGTCCTCATAGACCAGGATTCTGTCAAACTAACACAACACACTGAGATTCTCTAGTCAAGTTAAACATCAGGAACATGTTCTTATGATGTCCCCATAAAACTGTGTCCTCATAAAACGGGTGTAAGACACACACAACCTGACATAATAAACATGCATATTATGTGATGCATTAAAGCCATGAACATAGTTTTATCATTCATACCCATCTGTGGTAGTGATATTGCAGTATAGGCCTCTGTGAAGTCAGGCTATGTAAAGACTATGCCGTGTTATTTTACAGTTGATTACTCAATTTCTGTAATGCTGTTAGACTTACCTGGAATATATGAGTAGGGCTGAAACAACTAATCCATTTAATCGATTAAAATCGATTATTAAAATAGTTGTCAACGAATGTCATTATCGATTAGTTGGTCTACTTACGTCACGGGGAGCGTTTACTGGTGATTGGTTGAAACAGGCCAATCATGATGCTCTCTGTCTTACATGCGCTGCGCTTCATGTGCGCTTGCGCTTCACGCAAGGTCTCTCTCCCTTCGCCGATCTGCTGTGCGCGCAGAGACCGAGATCTTTTTTACAGTCTATATGTTTGGAGCACAGTGTCTTCTGTCTCGCATGCGCGCTCTTGCTTGCGCACTCTAGATTCCGGGAGTTTGAACTAATTTGCGGGCATCAGGGAGCCGCTATCAATATGCGGGAGACTCCCGGAACTTCCGGGAG